CGGCCCCGCCCCGCCCCACCCGCCCCCAGGGGCTGCGCGCAGAGTGGAGGTGGCGGGCGGGCGGCCCCCTGCCTCCGGCTCCCGGCACAGCAGCCGCGACACTCGCTTGCGCGCCAGCCCCGCTGGCCTGAACGCCTGCGACCCCCACCCCGCTCGGCCCGTGCCCTCACGTCTCAGTCGACTTAAAATAGCGACTTCACCAAAAGCCCGGGGACTTAACGAAGGAGCACTAGGTCTACACAGTTCTGGAAGGCGGATTTAGACCGGGCATCAGGAGAGCCTGCTTCACAGCTCGTGTCCAGGGTCTGGAACAGACTGCCCCCAAAGGTGGGGCAAGCACCATCTCTGGCCTCATTCAAAAGGTGTCTGGCTGTTTATCTTGCTGGGATCGTTTGACCTCAACAGACTTCAAAAGCCCTGGCCTCCATGATTTCGAGAGATCCTTTCTAGCCCCTAATGTCTATGAGATCTATGAAGTCCACTCAAGCGGGGCTGCAGTGCACACATGTACAGCTCCCTGAGGTTGTGGCAGCCATACTGTGAGCAAAGTCAACTTAATACAACTCAAGAAAATAGGGGCTGCTATTGTGCTGTTGTTTAGTACTTCCAAAAGTTGAGTACTTCCGGTGCAGTAACAGTGAGTGCTGTAGGGGCACACATGGACACCCCCTCCTTTGGAGTTATATTATCTCGTGCCACATTTAAGCCAACTCTGCTCCACATAGGTATGTACGCTCTGACAGTTAAGTCAACTTTAAAAAGTCACTTGGCTGTCAAGTCAGTTTGTGCGTATGCACTAATGCCCAGGCACTACATGCAGGGCAACGGCTGGGCCCTCTATGAGGGCTGGAGGTCTCCCAGTCTCAGGTTTCAGCCTGAAAGGCTGGGGCACCAGGGTTGCTGACCCTCCAGGATTGCCCTGGAGTCCCCAGGAATTAGAGATAAATCTCCAAGAGACTGCTGAGAGTCACCCCACAGATAGATGATAGTCATTAAAATAAATACTCAATGTTGAATCCAATCTATACAGTAGCCCAATGAGTTTTTAAAATGTAATAGTAATAATGTGCATTTGCCTTCCTGACCTAAAGTCCACACTGTAATTAATATCATTACATCATGTGATGAAACATCCCAGAATAGAGTCAAACAGCACTGGCAACCCTCCGGGTGCACTAGAGAAAGGGGAACCAGGATGTGTAGTAGGACAGAGGGGCCGAGACTGAACCAGTTAGTTTAGAAAGAGAGATACCTGAACATGGGACATGAGAACGGTTAACAAAATACTAATGGGGGAAGACAGTATGTGGGGATTTATGATCCACTTTCTCCTCCCAGACACCACCTAGGAGTCCCAACATGAAGCCAGTAGGCAGTCAGTTTAAAACTTAACAGAAAGAAGTTGTTCTTCCCCACACACTATGTCATTCAAGTGTGGAGCTCTGTGCCACCAGCTGTGCTGGAAGCCTGCAGTTTAGCCAGATTCAAACAGGGCTTGGACAAATGGCTGGAGGAAAGGGGCACAGGCTGCTATTGAGCATGGGAGTGAGGGGCTCAGCCTCTGAATCAGAGTTTTTAGACCTTAAATGCTGAAGGCTGCAAGTGGGAGGAACCATGGGGAAAAAACCCTGCTCCTACCATCCAGTAAATGGCAATTCTTATGGTCTTAAGCAAGAAACTTCCTTATACCATAAAAGCCAATGAACAGCCGTAGTTGGAAAAGTGATGGTACAGCCACAATTGTGCCAGAGACAAGGATGTCTTAGGGTGAGATCCTTTAGTGGACCAACTCTGTACCTGGGATAACAGGCAAGCTTTTGAATGCAAAGCACTCTTCCTCATGTCTCATTGGAAAGCTTGTCTAATTTTCTCCCAAGTACAAGCTTTCCATTGAGACCCAAGGATGAAAGCCTGGCATTCAAAAGCTTGTCCAGTCGTTATCCCAGCTACAGCATCAGTCCAATAAAAGATCTCACCCTAAGAAATCCTTGCCTCTTCTATTCCCCCCTCCCCCTCAAAAGAGCTGCAAACACAAGCTGGAATCTTGGGGGATTTTACTATGCCTGCCCCCTGGTACATACACCCAGAGATGCACCTCATACTTCCCCACATTTACACCTGAGCCACTCAGTGTACAACACAGCCAGATTTGCACCTCTTTTACTCATTAGTTTTCCTCTAAAAACTAAATCAGCAAAAGGGGGTTATTTCAAATTATTTTTCTTGAAAAGTATTTCCCTTTATAATATAAAATTTTAAACTAGCAATAATTTCTATGTACAGTGATACTTCTCTACCAGAAGGGAGCGCTCCAGGACTGGTGTTCAGACCCTGGGAGAAAAAGGTCCCTAAGTGTGCGCCATGGAATCCTCCTCTTCAGAACAGCACAGGCAACTTTTTGGTAAGTAAATGTCAAACATGTCATTTTTACAAACTCATTCAAGAGAGTCTAAGAAATGCTCAAAACAGGATGGGGAAAAAAAGACTAGAGGGCACAATGAAGGTCTTCAGAAGGAAAATTCCAGTCAGACAGAACAGCAGGAAAGTAGCAGTTGCCAAAAATAGCTCATGAAGGTGAGAAGGACCATGAAGACTGTTCCTATGGGTATCATTAAATGCAAAACAATCTGAGAAGTAAACAACGCTCCACTCAGCTAATATCTAGATCAGAGGTTCTCAACGTTTTTCATACCAGGACCCATTTGCAAACATTGAAGGCCAGTGCTGACCCAGTGCCCCTCACTCCTGGATCCACTGGCCCCAGGCCCCAGCGTGAGAGGCAGGGGAAAGGTATGGGAGGCATGGGGGTGCCCAAGCAGCCCCTTGCAGGTTGGAACCCTGACAGCTTGCAAGGGAAAAGCCAGAGTTTCCCACATTTTCTCTATTTTTAAAGTTTGTTCACAACCCTTTCATATGTTCTCATGACCCACTTTTGGGTCACGACCCACAGGTTGAAACACTGATCTAGACTATACTAGTATCTATATGTGCATCTGTGTGAGAATACAAAGTTCATACCCTCCAATTTTAATAGCCTACATAATTTTTTTGGTACGTGAGGTTTTCCCTCTACCTTTGACTATGTGCAAGGTAATGTTTCCTATTAACAGCTCACTCCTGGCTGAGAAAAGAATGGGTATGAGTAGTAGAGAAAACAATTATTTGAAGCGTTATCAAAGCCATTAATTATACTCTATTTATACATTAGTCTTCCAGATTTATTAAAGTGGCACATGCTAAAGGGAGCAGAAGTTTCATGTGAAGAGGATAGAGAAGTGCCTTTCACACCTAAGTCTTTTTTACAATATTACATTTCTCTGAATCCATCTAGGACAAGCAGCTACTCCACTCTAGTACCAATGGCAGCAGTGTTGTATAGACAAGAAGCAGTTATTAACTATGAGACAGCTCAAGTTGTTTTTATGTCCCTGGACAATTCCACAAGGCCAAGCATATGGATTTCCTATGTAAAGTTACTAGAGGGATATGCAAGAATAGCTAGGAGACCTTGCTAACAGTCTGAGAGCAGAAAGCAATCAAAACAGTCTCCTCAGGAAATAAATGCTTGGAAGCCTAATCAAGGCCTCTTGCAAGGGGTTTTGAGTTCATACCTGGCAATGTTACTGACATAAGAAACTCAGAATAGGTTGAGGAATCCAAGATCTAAGCATCTTCAACTTCCTATAGAGGCAGATACTCCCTGAAGGCAAGATTAGACACCAAGGTGGTAAAGCACTTTAAGAGTTCCACCTTAATGGTGCCTATATACTAGCAGGGAGGCTGCTCTGACATGCTGTAAGTCCAGTATGCTGGAGTGTGACAATTACTGTGCTCCAGCAGCATCCTGCATCTCATGTGTGTCCCCACACTTCCAAATGGTGGTGGAGGTATTTTATCTAAAGCAGGTTGAATGAGCTTTAGATAAAGTGCCCCTGTTGCCATTTGGAAACACAGGGATGCTGATACATGAGATGCTCCAGGCATTTTAATTAGAGCCTGCAACTTATTACTGAGGCTCCAGCTCATGCATAGGCACCCTTAAGGTGCACCTCTACTTTGTCTTCAGTGTGGCTTTATGCCAAGATTATAAAAAAAAAAAAAGAAGAAAAAAAATCTTAAACTAGTCCCTTTACTTTCAAAGGGCT